GGGAGTTCTGAGGAGGGGCGAGTCAGGGGGCGCTAGGGCGAGGGCTCCCCCCCCCCCGTGTCCCTCTTTTTTGTATTGTTGAAATATGGTAACCCTACTCAAAGGAGCCCAGCACCCAGGACATACCCAGCAGTCTGAGTGGGATGGCTGGACCCAGGGCTTTAAGGAAGCCCAGCTGCAGATGTAGGTAGGGCACGGCCCTGTCTCTGGTTGCTGTGCCAGCCTGCACCTGGGGGCAGTCATTGTGCTGAGAGGTTGGTGCTGCGTGTTGGGAGACACACAGCACGCTCTCAGGGAGAGCACTTGGGCTCACCCCTTGTTGCTTTACCTGAATGGAAGGGGTGAGGGCTGAAAGCTGGTAGTGTGCAAGGGTCTAACTTGGCTCAATGACTTGTTGGCTCACTGACAGCTGCCATCGGGAAGAAGCCTCCCTTGGCCTCGCTGTGCTGCAGTACCCGTTGCCAGAGAACAGGCCCAGTGGGGCTACCTGGGCAGAACAGTTGCAGGCATCATTACCGGCCGAGCGCTGTGCAAAAGCCCAACTCAGTGAGGTCCAAGAGCCAAGATTCAAATGCATCTGATCAGCTCAGAGAGCAGTTCCCGCTCTGGGGCTGTACTGAGTTCAGTGCTGGCCCAGCCCGTTTAGCGCCTGAGGCTGCTGCGCTCTGAGTCTGGTACGCAATCTGTGCCTTTCGGGAGCTGCTGTATTAGGTTTGCTGGACATGTCTACACTTCACACCGTGGCTGAGGTATGCTCGGCCCTGCCTTGCAAGGGCTACCACAACCCTCGAAGGTCAGATGGACAGGCGGAGAGTGCTGGTCTAGCCAGCACTGGTCAGGAAATCCCCCCCACTTTGCACTCCCCCCAGGGCGAGACTGGCCCAGGCTTTACCCACTCTGGGCAGGGGAAGAAGGCCCGGGCCCACCCAACTGCTGCTACCATCCGTGGAGCTGCACTGGTGGGAGGCCTTTGGAGAAAGCTAGAGCAGCCCCAACCCCAGGGTGCTGATGACATGCAGGGGCTGCTTGTTGGCTAGGAGCAGCCAGGGGCTGGATGCCGGGCAGTGAGGGGCAGAGGCTGATGCCCGAGGTGGTGGGGAGAGGGCGGGTATTAATCCGCTCATTTACATATTCATTTACATATTCACTTTTATTGGAGGGTCTCAAAGCATCGAAGAAAACGTCAGAAATAACCACATGCCTCTAAGGTGCTTCAAGCATTAGCCCCGCCCCCTCCTCACCCCCCGGGCGGGGTCTGACTCGCCGCAGCCCCCCCCCCGCTCGCACCCGGGGGGGGGTGTCTGGCTCAGTGCAGCCCCCCCACACTCACACACGGGAGGGAGGGGGGAGCTTTCTTCTTGCGCTCTGATTGGTCAGGGCTCTGTCTCCTCTTCCTATTGGCTGTGTCGCGAGGGGCGGAGCTTCCTGGGGGAGTCACGTGGCCCCGAGGCGGCTCTTGAGCAGCACGTGGCGCAGCCTGGAGCGCGAGAGGGTAAAGAGGGGTAAAGGGGGGGGGGCGAGCTCCCCCCCACTACCCCCGGCCCCCCCTCGTCTAGCCTCGCCCCCAATACCCCCGGCCCCCCTCGTCTAGCCCCTCGGCCCCCAAATATCCCCCGC